GTGGGTATTTTTTAGGGCTAGGGGTTAGAATTAGGGGTTAGAATTAGAGTAAAATATATTAAACAAGTATAAGTGGGGTTTAGAAGGTTAGGAGGTTGAATAGAAAATGTAGATTTCATTTTAAATTATGATATGCGACAATTATTGCTGAAAACAGTAGTATTATTGGACAAAATAGGTCATTATCATTTATTTGAACGCATAAAAAATATCATGATTTATCAAAGGTCCGCATAGAGTAATTTACTATTGTACGTTTCTATGTAAACTCCATAAGGCCATAGTATCCCCATAAATAATACCCCCATGATTAAGACCCGGATGCAAACCACTGAAGAATAATATACCCAGGTACTATAAGCACTACTATACGGCAATATTATGAGTTATAAAAGCCAAGACATAAAATTTACTCTTTTTTATTAATATAAAAAAAAAAAGGTGAAAATTTAAAGCTTAAACAGCTAGAGAACCCATTGGATCCCAAGCAGGCAAAATTTGAGGTTTTTGATTCAAAACTTCAACTAATTCATTAGGTGCGTCTTTCTTCTCTAAAACAATTTGATAAACCCAATCATCAAACCATCCATCTGCCATCACGAAATATCCTTTCTCTCCTCGTTCATCTCCCCAACTATTTTCAACACGCCAACGAATAGGCTTGTCATTTTCAAGATGAACACCTGTTAAAGTAATAAATGATCGATATATATAATTTAAAAAAATTGAGACCCGAAAAAAAAAAAAAAAAAATTACCAGTAAAAACCATAGCATGTGTCATTGAACTTTGTGCATATTGCAACCTTTGTGCTTTTGTCATACAAAATTTAATATTAAAACCTAATTCATAATCAATGAGTCTATTATCCAAAATTCCTAACGAAGAATCGCTAGCCTTTCCAACATCAGCACCGAACCAAACTGGTTTACCGGATCGTAAAGTTTGGATCGTTAGGTGTTTCATGGTTTCGACCGGAATGTTCACATAGCGGATTGGTATGCCCCCTTGGATGTTACCAAGAAATTCAATTGTATAAAGACTTAGGTATGGGTGACGAGGATCATTCACAAGAGAGAAAGTTTCCGTTGCCTGTTCAATGACGATAAAAAAAGAAAAAAGGATAAAAATTTAGAATAATGAGTAATATTAAGTATTTTATTAAATAATGGATTTCTACCTTATAGTTGACGACTTCTTTATAAAATTGTTTCGGAGTCAATCCAAAGAATTCATAATATTTTCCATCTTTGTCCCTAAAAGTCCAATCAAACACCTTAGGAGGTTCACCAAGAGAAATTGCCATAATGCGATAAACCTCTTCCATCATTTGAACTTTGGCATGCCGTAGCATTTCATTGCTTTTTCCAGATGCATGCATTTCTCTCAATTGATAAGCGAATTCACGAAGCTTAGTCGTAACAACCCAATTGAGTTTAGATGTATTTGATGAATTATAACATTCAGGGTATGCCTATAATTTCATATAATTTATATTGACTGTGGTAAAATAATTCTAAAAACAAATCCTTTAGATTTTGTACTTACACATTTGGGAACCACCCCGTATTTTTCCAACAAATTGATTACCATGTCCCATTGGCCACCATCGTTAACCGGTGCACCAAACAAATATTGAATTAAACGTGAGTCAACATCTTCATCCACGAGCGCGATCATGTTCTCGAGGAAAACTTTGAGAAAAAATATTAATATTTTTTAAATAGGAAATGCGATATAAAAATATCAAAATATATCAAAAATTTCAGCTTCAGCCGCCACAAAATTATTTACAGTTCGCTTTTTCAAGCTTGTCATAAAAGAACAAATATGACTGAGATAATTCAAAGTCTTCTAACTTGTATCTAATAAATTTTAATTAACTCATGATAAATTTAAACATCAGGTAATATTATAAAGGTTGAACCTACTTTTTCATAACTAGCAAACGTAGCACGTTGGTAGCAGCAAATAACCAACAACGGCCAGAAGATTTTTGATTAGTCGCCTTCCCTTCTAATTGAATTTTCTCAGAAAAGACATGGACGTCTTTAATGGCGGCCTATTGTATAGAAAATAAAGAAAGTAAATAATTTAAAGCATAATCCTTTATCATTATGGTAAATCATAAATTACATAGAAAATATTATACATCTCGATTCAATAAAACTTTAGTCATGTCATCATTGCAAATAGCACTCAAAGCCAATCTATTCTTTGGATCAGAATTAAACTTATCCCTAGCAACAGTAATAAAAAAAGCAGATGCTCGAATTTCTCAAATGATTACTAGTCAGTAATTCTAACAATAATTTTAATAATATTTACGAATATTTTTGAAGAGCTGCTTCGTTCAAGTCAGCACATCCATTCAATTCATCAGTGTAAGTATTTATATAACTTTTCCATATATGTTCGTTAGTTTTAACAAGATCATTATATTTATTATGTTTTTCATCATTGGCTTTACTAGACAGGCGCCTTTTCTTAAAGCTACTAAGCCGAGATTTGTTTTGGCCCATCACTGTATACTTAATATGTAACAATAAAAACGAAATGAGGGGAAGGGGAAAAAAACAATGGTGAAAAATTCACCTTAAAAAAATATCAATGGGGAAGATCAAACTGAAATAGGGAACTCATTTTTAAATCGCCATTAAGATAAATTAAAAAGTAAATAAGTAAATATTACTGTTACATTGTAACACAGATGTGAAAAATATAGATAACGTTACAGAATTTGTTACCATTGTAACACAGATGTGATAAATATAGATAACAATAACGTGATCTACTCATGTTACAGTATATAGATTTGATTTGCACGTACGAATGCACGCATAACATACAGTACGTACCAGGTACATACCTTCGAGTAACAAGTCATTTTTTATGGAAGAAACTTATCCAACGGAAGAAATATATCATGAGAGGCAAAAGTTATGGTTTTGTGGTCAAGTTAGTTTGATGTTTATAAAAAGCAACTTAATCGTTATATGATTTTACTTTACACCTCTATATAACGAACGATAATTAATTGCGTATTATATTATCATTGAATAAATTGTGAAACAAAAGCACACATTGAATAATTTAGTGAGTTGAACACTATCGCTATTGATATTATATATTATAATTTCTAGTTCTCGACCTGTTATTCAAAACGTTTATCACTTTCCTTATATCATCAAGCTTCAATATAAAGCATTTTCCAAAGAACAACTTGACGATATCGCCTTAAATCTGTCCAAAAAAACAGATTCAAGTATTAAAAAGTTGAATTTTCTCTACATTAATCCACACAAAAGTGTTTTGTGAGTGTCATCTTTTTAAATTATTGTATTAAAGTATAGCAAATAAAATAACATCTTCTAACAATAACATATGATTGATTAATAGTGGTGTTGGTAATTATGATATTAATGTTCTGGAAGCAGCTCTAAAACAATTTGATTTGGAAATTCAATGGTTTGATTCGCGAAAAGGTATTATACCTTTGTAAAAGGGATTATCATTAATTATCATTAATAAACACTTGTAATAGTAACCTAAATAATTTGTATAGACATTCGAACGGTCATCCAATTCACGGATCCAACTCTTTTCGGAATCATTCTAAACACTCAAACATCTCGTCTCTATTTCTGGACATCTAATCACTGGATTGCCGTTAAACCTTTTTTTAATAATGAGGGTGGAATTCCAGAGATTTACAACTTGGATTCTAAGTTGCCCAAGCCTATAAAGTTCGACAGCATAGAGCAGGTAACCATTTATATACAAACTAATTTTTTCTTTGACCCTTTTTTTTCATTTTTTTCATCCTTTTCGTGATTTATCCGTTTTATAAATTGGAAAGTGTAAAAGAAGATCACAGACATTAGTTTTCTAATTTCTAGGTTTATAGATTTCTTGAAATTATTGTTTATCATCAAGATGGACAGATTTTTATGGTGAAGAGAAAACCAAATAATGATGGAAATGAATCAGACTAATATTAAGTATACGCTGCGCATATAGATATAAGAACGGATTGATATCATAATAAATTGTTGAATGAATGATTATTATAGAGCTTATGCAAATATCTATTCGGAAAAGATATTTTTCATATCCACGAATATTTATCGAAACATTCGGAGATTTATTTATCGACGTATAGATAATTGTTTATGAATTCAAATTCTAGGTTATATCTACCGTTGTATGCTATTTTAATTGTTACTATAGCTTTAAGACATTTGATTGAATTTTAATATTGGTCATAACAATTTAAATACATGCTAGCTAAGAGTTTAAGTTATATTGTGTAACATAATTCTAAGTGTAGGATGTAAATATATACAGTGTTGCTTGAGACTTCAAGAATTTTTATGACCGATTTTGTGTTTAACCCTGAATTTTCAAGATTTTGACTTATAACGTTGATAGCAAGGCAATAAACATAGCGGTTGCACAGACCTTTGACGAATTTTGGGTTAAATTGCTATCAAAAAAACCTTCTAAAATCTTAACATCTTTTTTTTATTTAATATAGCAAGATAACAAGATTATTCACTGTAAAAATTACAATTACTCATAAGTTTTCAATGATATTTTAAAAAAGTTAAACATTTTCTTATTTCTTTATTTAAAAGTATATATATTATTAAAATTAATACCGTACCGCACTGCCTTTAGTACCCGGGTCTTAAAAAAAACAGATTATACATAGCAATATCCATGAGTACTTAACCAAGAGTGGGTGCAAAGCTGGGTATTATGCTTCGAGAGTCTGTAATCCAGAAATATTATAATTTAGACCTCTGCAATTGAAATAATTTTCAATAAATCTATTAAATCTTAATACCCGAATCTTAAACT